CGCCCGGCGTGGGTTTTAAGCCACCGGGTCTGGGATGCGAACCACGGTCGACTACGGGGAAGCCCAGCAACCCAGCCATTACGCCAACTGCTGGTTCCCATCATTATTATTTTTTAAACTTGATACAGACATGCCCCAGAGAGAGACAGGGAGAGGGAAAGTGATAAAGCAAGTCACCAGGTCCGGGACTTGAACCACAGTTGGCCATGTGGGAGTCTAGTGCCCTAACCGTTATGCCACCCACTGGCCTCATGTGATGAACTCCTGAGCTGGTGTGCCTGGACATGGAACATCCCCTTGTCCAGGTTATCCACGGTCTATGCTACTGACCCAACAGTCACTGAGTAGACACTTTGGTTACCAGATCAAAAGATCATATTGTAATTGGTGCTGGTCACAGTTTCAGGCTTTTATTGGGGGTTGAAAGGGTATCTCACACCAGTGGGACGATTCTGTGAAGTACAAAGATAATGAAGTGAAATTACATAGCACCTCACTTTATTTTTTTTTTGGGGAGAAATTTTCACTGTAGGGCGCGTGCGCTCACCAGACAGACAGAGAGAGACATAGAGACAGAAAGCGAGAAATCACCCCCCAGGGGGGATGGTCACACCGCAATCCCTTCTCCTCCATTCTCCTCTCGGGATCTTGGGCATGCACGCACACATGCCCGGCGTGAGTTTTAAGCCACCGGGTCCGGGACGTGAACCGCGGTCGACTACGTGGGAGTCCAGCGACATAGCCATTACGCTAACTGCTGGTTCCCAGCACCTCACTTTCAAAAGCAGGTTTTTTGTTTTTTGTTTTTTTTTAGTAGAAAGGGCTTATTTATTTATTTAATTTTTAATTTATTCTTATTATTTTTAAATTTGATCAGAGAGAGACAGAAAGAGAGGGAAAGTGAAAAAGCATGCCACCAGGTCTGGGACTCAAACTGTGCTTAGACATGTGGGAGTCCAGCACCTTCACCACCACACCACCTGCTGGTCCCCAAAAGCAGGTTCTTAATAACTGACTAATAAATAGAGCTATATATCTTTATCTACTTATATATTCTAAATTTGATGCTATCATACTGGTTTTGATAATTTCTCTATTCATGATGGAGTGTGTGCATGTGTGTGTGTGTGTGTGTGTGTGAGAGAGAGAGAGAGAGAAAGAGAGAGAGAGAGATGGTGGAGGAGTGATGAACACCTCTACAGGGTCTGGCATACTGCGATTCCCCCTTCCTCCAGTCCTCTACCGGCTGTGTGTTTCAGGCTGACTGAGTTGGGGATTTCACTGCGGTCACCATGCTGGACTCAGTTTCTCTTAGCAGCACATTGCCAGTAAGTCACGGAGTCAGCCCTGATTTTTAGGATAATTCCCAAAGGGCAGTACGGACAAGATAACCCATTAATGATTCTGATAATACACTCTAGTCATAGTAAGGACTTCAAAGCAGTACGTAGAAATTTGCATTAAGTGGGACCAGCAGTTAGTGTAATGGCTATGTTGCTGGACTCCCACGTAGTTGACCGCGGTTTGAGTCCTGG